AGCAATGAACTAGCAGAAAAAGAAATCAAGAAAACAATACCATTTACTTGCATCAAAAAGAATAAAATACCTAAGAATAAACCTAACCAAGGATGTGAAAGACCTATACTCTGAAAACTAAGACACTCATGTGAGAAATTAAAGAAGACACCAAAAAATGGAAATCTATCCCATATTCATGGATGGGAAAAATTAATATTGTCAAAATGACCATCCTGCCTAAAGCAATCTACAGATTCAGTGCAATCTCTATCAAAATACCAAGAACATTCTTCAAAGAACTACAACAAATAGTTCTGAAATTCATGTGGAACCACAAAAGACCCCAAATAGTCAAAGCAATCCTGAGAAGAAAGGAATAAAGCTGGGGGGATTACACTCCCCGAATTCAAACTCTCCTACAAATCTACAGTCATTAACACAATTTGATACTAGCACAAGAACAGACCCATAGATCAACAGAACAGAATAGAGAGCCCACATATAATAAACCCAACCATTTATGGTCCATTAATATATGATAAAGGAGCCATGGATATAAAACAGGGAAACAACAGCCTCTTCAACAGATGGTGTTGGCAAAACTGGACAGCTACATGCAAGAGAATGAAACCAGATTACTGTCTAACTCCATACACAAAAGTAAACTCAAAATGGATCAAAGACCTGAATGTAAGTCATAAAACCATAAAATTCTTAGAAGAAAACATAGGCAAATATCTCTTGAATATAAACATGAGCAACTTTTTCCTGAACACATCTCCTCGGGCAAGGGAAACAAAAGCAAAAATGAACAAATGGGACTACATCAAACTAAAAAGCTGTACAGCAAAGAACACCATCAGTAAAACATAAAGGCACCCTGCAGTATGGGAGAATATATTCATAAAGTACATATCCAACAAGGGATTAACATCCAAAATATATAAAGAACTGACACAACTCAACACCCAAAAAAGCAAATAACCTGATCAAAAAAATGGCCAGAGGATCTGAACAGACACTTCTCCAAAGAAACTGAGATGGCCAACAGGCACATAGAAAGATTCTCCACCCCGCTAATTATCAGGGAAATGCAAATTGAAACTATAGTGAGATAGCACCTCACACCAGTTAGGATGGCCAACATCCAAAAGATAAGAACAAATGCTGGTGAGGATGCAGAGGAAGGGGAACCCTCCTAGCCTGCTGGTGGGAATGTAAATTAGTTCAACCATTGTAGAAAGCAGTATGGAGGTTCCTCAAAAAACTAAAAATAGAAATACCATTTGACCCAGGAATTCCACTCCTAGGAATTTACCCAAAAGAAACAAGATCCCAGATACAAAAAGACACATGTACCCCTATATTTATTGTGGCACTATTTACAATAGCCAAGATAAGGAAGCACCCTAAGTGTCCATCAGTAGATGAATGGATAAAGAAGATGTGGGGACATATACACAATGGAATATTATTCAGCCATAAGAAGAAAACAAATCCTACCATTTGCAACAATATGGATGGAGCTGGAGGGTATTGTGCCCAGTGAAATAAGCCAGGTGGAGAAAGACAAGTACCAAATGATTTCACTCACTTGTGGAGTATAACAAAAAAGCAAAACTGAAGGAACAAAACAGCAGCAGACTCAGACTCCAAGAAAAGACTAGGGGTTACCAAAGGGAAGTGGTTGGGGAGGGTGGATGGGGAGGGAGGGAGAAGGGGATTGAGGGGCATTACGATTAGCACACATAATGTAGTGGGGGCAGGAGGAAGGCAGTATAACACAGAGAAGACAAGTAATGACTCTAGCATCTTACTACACTGATGGACAGTGACTGCAATGGGGTGCGGGGGGGAGGGATTCGATAATATGGGTGAATGTAGTAACCACAATGATGCTCATGTGAAACCTTCATAAGAAGGTACATCAATGATACTTTAATTTTTAAAAAAAAGGAGCAAGCCCCTTCTGCATTGTCATATAAGTAAACCTGCCTGGATATACTTTATTTGCCACTAGTTAACTCGGACTCATTTGCATGAAACAGCGGGATTTGTTACAGGTGGCGTAATTGGTGAATGTGACGAAGTGCATGGCATAGTTGACATTGGCAGGGAAAGCAGCCTGTGGTAGGAGAAAAAAAAGGAGACTACAGAGATGGGACTGTTGAAGCCCTTCTCTGCTGTGGAGTGGGCTTTTCTCTGAAATAGAGTATACGTACAGAGCAGTGCACGTCATAAGCCTGTGGCTTGGTGAACCTCACGAACGCACTACTTCCTGAGTGAGTGTTCCTGTTGGCCTTTCACCTTAGCAGTGCCTTCTCTCTGCACTGGTCTAGTTCCAGTACATGTGTTGTCAGAGGAATGTTGAAACTGAACTGTAACAGTAGTGATAACTGAAGGGATTAGATTCCTCCTGTGTGCAAGGCATTGTGAGTCACTTACATAGGCATCTCATTTAGTCCTCACAGGAACTGTGAGAGAGGTAGTGTTTATTCACCGTTTCAATTTGAGAAAACAAAAAATAAGGCTTTAAAAGAGCCACAGTGCATGTGTTTTTGCTGTGTGTCGGGCACTGTATGAGGCACTTCATGGTCACTCTGATCTCATTCTCACACCATCTCTGAGAGTTATGTCATCGCCTTTGGCAGATGACAAAGCTAAGGTTCAAGAAAGCTCATTTGCCCAAAGCCTGTGTCCTTAGCCACTAAATCTGAAGGCTGGTGTATTACCGCAGAGTGAAACACACCATCGAGTAGATGGAGAGAAAGGAGGGAGGCAGGCAGTCAACTAAAAATTGCTCAGTAGTCTCCTCAAAGGCGGTGCCAAAGGAAAAGTGGGAGGAAGAGGTGAATGCAGAAACAGGGCAGACATCTACCTAGTTTGTGGAGGCAAAGGAATGCCCAGGCAATAAGATCCTTGGCCCTTTCCCAAGAAACTGATTTAAAACACACATGCAGATTAGCCTCTGTGTAAACGAGCAATGACAGTCTCTGTGGAAAGCAGATCGCATAAAGTCAGAGCTAGAATGGCTCTGAGCTCAGCCACCGGCCACCCACTCCTCAGAAGACAAAACTGCCAGGTGTGATGGGCGAAGATGTGGCCGCGAGTGCAGGCTCGGCACCTGGGCTCCCCGACAGCCTCCCCCCCTCTGGCACGTGTGCCCCACAGCTCTCCCCAGTCACATGCATTATCTTCTTGGAGCTCTTCAGAATTATCGGAAGCCTCTCATGAACTTTCATGAATTTGTTGTTTTTCTAGCATCTGAATAACTTAGTCCTATATAAAATATTGAAATTTCATGTCAAAAATTATTACTGAAGATGTACCATTTTTCATTGGCGAGAAGTCGTTAGCGTTGGGATTGGAAGACACTGAGCAACTGTGGAAATTACAGACAAATAGAGTTGTGGATAAAGTGAAGGTTCCTGTGGCCAGGATTCCCGCCTGGCCCTGGTCGGCTGGCTCACTACACACATGTGGGCAATACATTGTTATTGACTCTGAAAGAGCCCTGCGCAGGGCTCTGAGCGACACAGTGGCATGGCTGCAAGGCTGCAGGAGAGCAGAGGAGAGACTGGGGTGGTGGCAGTGCTGAGGACAGAGACTGAGAGGCCACGGGGGCAAAGAGGCCCGGAGGCAGGGACCAGCGTGCTGCTCACAGACTCGCTCTGAGGGGACAGGATTCTACTGATTGACCTGCCACCGTGGGAATAAAGTTGGGTATAAACCCTTTCACCCCAAAGACGTTCTACTGTCCTTTCTTTGGTTACACTGAATCCATAGTGAACTTGCCCAGGTCTGAAACCCATTGGCAAGACAGTAGTTTAATGTTTTCTCTTGTAACCTTGCTCCTTTGTGTCCCTATGGCCGACTTCCTTGTGGACCCAGGTCCTGGGACCTGAACCTCGAGCACCGTCCATCCCCAGCATCTTCACCAGGGCCCTGTCCCATTCCTTTGCTCAGATGGTTGGTTTCTTGGGGCCCTCAGGCATGTTGTCAGTGGCCCAGAAATGTGCTTGTCTTGTCCAGATGGTGGTGGTAGGGGTCACCTCCCAAAATAAAATGTTCTTAACAAGTCAGAGGGATCGAGCTGCCCATTCAGCATCACCTCTGATCAACCAAATGGTCCCTGACATAATGCTTCCCAAAAACAGGCCCAGGGGACTGGCCAGACCCCCGGGGCGGTGTTTCTGGGCCCCGGGGAAGCCGGTCCTGAGAACTGCTGGTGGCTGTGCTCGGGCATAGCAGTGCGTGCACGTGTGCACGTTCATCCTCGCCCTTTCTCCTCCTCTGAGTGGTGCAGACACACACAGTCCGTTTTACTGGGTGTCTTCTGCTCTTCATATGGCGTGTTTTCCCCTTTGAACGGCAGCATGAGGGCCAGAGAGTTGTATGTGTTGGGTAGGGGTCTTTGGTTTTGCGGGGAGAGCTTTGGATTCCACTGTAGGACGGTCAAGCGTCGCTCCTGCGTTGTGTGTGCGCTGCCTTCTAGGATCAGAGGTGGAATTAGAGGTGTGTGTTGATTCTATGATTTTGTCTTTGATTTTTAAGGATGAATATTCATTGAGTTTCCTTTTGCTGTGTGTTATTCCAGAAAACTGATGAAGTACATGGCTTTTCTAAGAGAATATAGCCTTTTCTTTCCTGAACAAATTATCTGTTGAAAGTACTTTGGCATGATTTACTTTGAATAACAGGTTACAGGGTAAGCAGGTCTCTGCTGTTTCTGGTTTCAGCCGAGTACACTGAACCAATATAGAAAAGCTCTCTCATTCCATCTGATAGCAGCAGTCCCAACAAAACACAGTTGCTATTGGTGTACATAATTGATCACTTTATTAACTGTGGAAAAAAAGAAGGCTTATTGGAGTAATAAAGCATAACTTCATTACGTCCCGTGTGTAGAGAGCAAACGTTGGAAAGTGGCTGACAGGTTCCCGTTTCAAGGCTGATTCTGATGATGATAATATTTAAGTAGCATTGATTGTTCTCTAATTGGATTTTTCTTTCTATAGGCCTCTTCTGAAGAGCTGAAAGCTGCCTACCGGAGGCTGTGTATGCTTTACCACCCCGACAAGCACAGAGACCCAGAGCTCAAATCACAAGCCGAAAGACTGTTTAACCTTGTTCACCAGGCTTATGAAGGTCAGTGCAGGGCTTGGCTTTGTAGAAACACCCCAATACAGATACTCTATTTTTAAGAGACTTGATTTGTAGAAGACAGAAAAGGAAGGTCCTCAGAGGTGTATAAAAGAAGTGGTTAGTTTAGTGCTTTTCACTGACAGGTCCTTTGAAAGAGTAGTATTTTGCTTTGGAAATCAATATGTGTCCAGTAAGTAGAAAATGAGAGTCCAAGTACAGTAATAGACCAGGATCTAAATTGCAGGGGAATACTCGAGTTCTAAATCGCTTACTAGTCTTCTAAAGGGATCTCTTGGAGATAAAAGGCTGATCGTTACAGACAATCTTGCTTTGTTCTCTTTTTTATGAGAAAGTATAAGAACATTTTTTTTCATCTGCAGGCGATTTTATTAGTTCTCTAGTGGTTAAGGAAAGGTTCCACCAAAAGAAAAAAACGATGTTAAGAAGGTTAATAGGAAATAGAATTGAGTAATTGAAATTTTTATAATTACATCTTAACATATTTCAGAAGGAAAATTGTGTGATATGTATTTCTAAAATACTGAGATAACTAGTAGGTGCAGAGTTTCTGTTTGAAATGATGAACAAGTTCTAGAAATAGCAGTCATGATTACACAACATTGTGAATGTGCTTAATGCCACTGAATTGTACACTTAAAAATGATCAGTTTTATGTTTTGTACATTTTACCACAATTTTAAAAATTAAAATTAAAAAAATATTAAACCACTCTTAGGATATATACCAAGTAAAAAAGTTTTTCATTCCAGAACCACATGTTGATTTGCTCCTTAATTAGACCAAAAATTAGATAATGTATTTATTTACAAAATAAAGAATTCTCATTGCAGACACAAAAGGAGATGGTATATTTCACTTTATAGTTTTACCAGAAAATTAGATTTTAGTGTCCAGTAAAACTCAGGTCATCGTGCACGATAGAGGTCTAAGTCATCACTGTCTTGGTACCAAATTTAACTCCATTCAGACCACTTATGTGGTGGACTTGGCCAAAAGCTTGTTCCTGTATTGTGTCCTGTTGTCTGAGTGACTAGATTGATATCACAGTTGTCTAAATCACGCACAAAGCTGGTTTGTGGTATTTTGGAGGTTTAGGAAAGAGTTAGCAGAAAATCCTTCCCAGTGCTCATGGAAATGCTGCAGCAGCAAGCCTGGCCGGGTTGTGCCTGAAGGGAGACTAAAGTAAAATGCGAATAAATAGTTCCTTGTTAAATCCTGCAGATTAACTCAGGAAGTTCGGCTCCCATGTTTTCCAGTGGTCAGCACTTCTTCTTCCCCATTAGATTTGAATATGGGTGGAATCATTTACATCGTCTTTTAATTAGGCCTAAAAATACATGGGAAGTCTCAGGGGAGAAAAGATTCAAATGTCTTGAACAGCAATTGACAGTCTAGGAGGAATATAACAGCTGCTAGCTTTTACTGACATTTAATCAGCTCGGCACCTTCGAATAGTCCCACCCTTCCTGGAGAACCTTTTCCTGATGGGCTTCAGGTGATGTGGCCACCACCAGAATGACAGGTACCTGTTTGTGTCTTTTAAAATGATTTACAGATAGAGGCACCAAAAAAGAAGACGACTGTCTTAGGAGTTAGTGAAAGTGTAGAGTAAATAATAAATCACATTCTTCTGGTGTCAGAGCCTGTCCCTGATTTTATATGAAGTTTCTTTAGAAATTGGAGTTAACTCTTTCAAACCAAGGTACTTTATAGACTGTGGCAGAAACTTCCTGAATTCTTTTAAAAACAGCTCTTCTTCAGTGACACAAGGGTCAGAGCAGCTTCCCGCAAGGTGCACCTCCCAACTGAGAGTAGCTTAGACATGCAGAATCTGGCATTTCTCATTTGTAGCCGCCTTTAAACACTTTCTGGATTGGATCTAAAAAGCAATTGGGAGGAAAAACTCATAGTGAATGAAGAGGGTCTTAGGAAGACTGTGGTTGGACAGGAATGACCGGAAGGAGGTGGGGTTACTGAACGATGCTGTTGTCAGGCCAGAAGGGTGAGTTCTGTACTCTGTAGACATGTCTGATTTTTTATTTGCAGTTCTTAGCGACCCCCAGACCAGGGCCATCTACGACGTCTATGGGAAGAGAGGACTTGAAATGGAAGGCTGGGAGGTAAGGGAACCCGGGCACCCGGGGCCGGGGGAGCCACCGAGCAGCCTGGGACGGCACCCTTGAGACTGCCCGAGGCCCTTCCTTGCCTGGTGTTTTGGTTTAAGAGGCTGAGCTCTGGGCTGCGCTTTGCCGCTCTGCTCCTCAGTTACCTTGGGAAGCCAGTCTTCCGGCTTGTCCTCGGCTTACTGCTCCGTCAAGTGAAAAGTAACACAGTACCAGCAATGTTTAAACCCCGAAGCAGGCCAGTCGGGAGTTGGCAGAAAACAGTTTCTGCTGCTCTGTCTGCACTAAACTTCCGTCCACCTTCCACAGTTCTTGGACAGCTTTGAATCTGATAACAACTGCAAGTGGAATGGAAACCATGTAATTCAGATGGCACTTGCGGGTGTTAAATCCCACTCGGGGGCATCCTTTGGCCCAGATCACCCACAGCTTAGTTCTCGCCCGCAATCCTTACATCACCCATATCCCACTTTCCCTGGCCCTTTGATACTGTCTTGTAGTACCTGCAGTAAGAGCTGTGGTACGACAAGATCGCAGAAACAGAGACCTAGAAACTCTCATGGAGTGGAGGGAACTAAGGAGAAATGATACCTAAATGCAATCCTGGGTCCTACATTGGATCCTGGAACATGAATAGGATATTAGCAGAAAAACAGTAAAATCCAGAAAGATTGGGTTTCATTAATAGTAATGTCCTAATGCTGGTTTTTCGTCTTTGACAAGTGTCCCTTGGTTAGGTAAGACGTTAACGTTAGGGGAAGCTGGGTGAGGGTATGCAAGAACTTTCTGTACTATCTTTGCAACTTTTCTAACATTTTAAATAATTTTCTGAAATTATTCCAAAATAAAAGTTAACTAGCTAGAATCAGAATTTTCATACCAGAAGACACCTCAAGAATCATGCCATTGAACCCCCTCATTTATAGCAAGGAACCAAGGCTTAGATGGGGAGTCACCTGAGGTCTCCAGGAGATGAGCCTAGCTTTCTGTCCTCTCTCCACCCTGCCACTCAGCTTTTAGAGATCTCGGTTCACCTTTTTGCATAAGTAATGTGGTCTTCCTGGCTCATACAGGGATAGACCTAGTTGGTGAACAGTCCAGGTGAACAATACAGGTGTATAGACTACTAGGAAGCATATCATACAGTGTTAATGAAAAACATTGAAAATGTCTAGTATTTAATGCAGCTCAGGATGCCGTGTTCCTAGATGCTTTTATCTAAGGGTTGTTGAGATGGAAGAAAGTGACTTGCCCCTGGCTTAGTGTTCCACTCTCCATCATAATGTACTCTGTGTAGAGAAAGAGATCAATAGTAAAGGACATCAGGGGCCTGGGGGAGCTAGAGTGAGGTGCCCTGCCCCGTTCCTCACTGCTCCAGGTGGGCCAGCCTTTGTGACTCTGCAGTCAGCTCTGATTATGCACCAACTGTTTACCAAACTTACTCTAACTAGAAGTGGAATGATTTAATACCTTTGGGATATTTGGCTCTTCAGCTTATCAGAGTAGCAGAGAGAGAGGAATTTGCAGCTATTAATTCAGTCAGGAAAGGCCAGGCAGCTAGAATACCTGAAAAATCTTGTTCTCCTCTGGCCTATAGATACTGATGCTTTCCAGTCTTTTAATTCCTGGAACCTTAAAGATCTGTGTATTTAAAAAACATCAGTATAGGGGCATATTCATAGAGTATGTGTCACTGGTGAAAGTCATGATTAATCAAAACTTCTGTTTAATCTACATTCTTTACACCAATGTCCTCTTAAATAGAATATTCAGTATGAAATGTCTGCAGGTAGAACAGCCCAGTTACTCTAGGCCCTGTGGAGGTCACACTGCCCTTCCAGACCCGCCTCATCCTTAGTAATGAGTTTCTTAGGGTCACCATTGGCAGGAGTCCAGTTTAAGTTGGGGTTCCACACTTATGGGTCCAAGGTTTGAAGTCTTTGAATTGGGGTTGAAACTTCACGAACAATTTTTAAAGTATTTCACATCATTTTTTTCTTGATCTTTTAAATGGAATAGTTGATTGCCTACATTTCCCTGAAGCTCTTTTATTTTTGTTTTCTTCTGATGAGAAGGGCTGGCAGGAGATGGAGAAGATAATGGAAACTTTGAAAACCTGTCACTTTCATTCCGGCCAAGGCAGGGTAACGTTGGGGAAGTGGAGGTGCATGAATGGTTGCACATGCCCTCTGTTCTGTAAGAACTAGCAGACTGAGGTTGCCTTGTCAATGCAGTAGAACCAGGTGTTGTGAGGTCTCAAAGCAGTAGCCCAGATGCCATTTAGGACTTGCAGTTTGTTCTTAGATGATTTGAACAGTGTTTTTACTTTAAAACTTCTTTGAAAGAACCACCTCCCCCTTTTTATTGTATTATGTGATTAGAAGAGAAAATGTTGTTTCTGTTATTTTTTTTCTCTTCCTGAAAGTAGTAGCAAATTTCACTCACTTTTTTTGGATAGGCCAGTTTTTGTACTCATTTTTCTCATTGCTGAAATAAAATCAAGTTGCACAAAGCTTATAGCATGCCCCCATTTTTGTTAAGCTGTATATACACTTACATATGCGCTCACACATAGAAGATTTTTATAGGAAGATATATAAAAATACGTTTGCCTGTGAGGGTGGGTATGGGGGCTCCACCTATCCTAGTACACCGCTTTGAGTTTTTGCTGTAAGCTTATTTTTTTCAATAGTTTTTAAAACTTGTGATTTCTAAGATAGCTTTTTTTCGTATCACCTACCTTTTTAGATGTTCTTCGAGAAGTGTCTCCAACTGCCTATATTTCTCCCCCTGCTACAGGGAATACGCTCTTTGGGCTTTTTTCCCCCATCCGCCTCAGGGTCTCACTCATGTTTGTCATACTCCGTTGCTCGCAGGCCGTAGAATCGGGGGCCCTTAGCAGTCACTCACGCAGCACAGGTTCCTCTTCCACGGATGCGGTGCCTGAGGCCCAGGCGGGCCTTTCCCTGCCTCTTTGAAACCTCAGCTAGATTGCCTTCCTTTCACAATGAGCCATTGTGGATTGCCTTGTCTTCTCAAAGATTTGACGTCATTGTGCATCCCTGAGTGTTAACATGCTCTGCTGTTGGTTCCTGTGAGAAACACGCTCACTGGTCCAAACTTAGTCAAAGAGAACAGCGGAGCCAGGCTTTAATGGCGGTCTTGCAAGACCGGGTGTCTGGTGAGCAGGCCCACTCAGGGCAGCTACAACAAGCAATTAATTCCTTAGCTTACGAGTCCCTCCCCGGGTTCCTCATCGGCTGAGTACTGCAGGGTTCACGTTCTTTCTCGGACATTGCCTAAGCAAGTTATGTCCATGTTAGGCTTTCTTTACATTTGTCTTAACTTTATTGGCAGGTTTAAAACTTCTGCATTTTTTTTTGAAGTGATATACAGCCTGCTTTTTCTCAGTCTTCCTGCCACCCCCAGCCAGAGTGACATGTAGGCTTCTTGTTAATACCCTTTTGTTTAAATGTTAATTCCTCTGGGAATAAATCACATTTAGTTTTATACCATTTTTAAGAGTACCTGAGTGGTGTTTATGCTACAGTGTAACTGACATCCTACGTTCTAAGGGTCGCATCATATTGTAGGGAAGAGCCCCATGATTCTAGAAACACCCAGGCCTGATGGCTTAGGACCCCTTTTGAGAAGCTCAAAAGGCATTTCTAGTGACAGCTCTGCACACTAGGGAAAGACGGCCGTGCCACTGTGGACAGCTTTGCCTTCATCTGATATTTAATATTGTTGTCTGGGACGCATTAGGAAACACACTGAGATTTAAGGTGACGATTTCTCTGTGAGATTCCTACAGACTCAGAGGTAAGTTGCTAAAATGAAGGGAAGGATACTTAAGCCTCTCTGAGGGCAAGCAAGGCCTTGGGAATGATCAGGATTGCAGAGCTGAGTGGGTGCGACATGAGCGAAGCCTCGCCAGGAACTGGGGCCCTCTGGTGGAAAAACTCCCCGCTGGTTTCGTGGCAATCTCTTGGAGTCCTGGGGAAGAGTGGCTGACCCTGGGCAACACAGGTGATGACTTGGTTCTTTATGCTGCATTTCCCTCCCTTCCTGGGACCTGACCTGTCTCCTTACCTGCTGGTCCTGTGCAGGTTGTGGAAAGGAGGAGAACACCAGCTGAGATCAGAGAAGAGTTCGAGCGGCTGCAGAGAGAGAGGGAGGAGAGGAGACTGCAACAGCGGACGAACCCCAAGGTGAGCCAGCGGTACTGTCGCAAGGTTTAATCACCTGAAGGTGGGCCTGAAGCAATTAGGTGCTGGTGGGTTGTTTTTGAAGTAATAACATAAAAAATTGAATGGAACAAAATGTTGCTTATTTTGTCTCAGAGTGGTATCTTCCTGGAAAGCAGCTCCCTGACGCTGTGGGCAGTGTGCTGCTGATGACAGAGAGAAGTGAGTGCTCTGAGCCATATGGAGGAAGGCCACACCAGCCCAGTGGTTTTCCCGGAAGCCAGGGAGGTTCTCAAGCAGTACAGGCCAGGTCCCTGAGAACTTTTCCTCAAGTCAGACTGCCCAGCCCCGACGTGCAAAAAGCAGTTAGACGACAGTGTCCGGAGAAGGCCAGCCGCCCAGCCACACATTGAGGCAGGAGGATTCTGTGCACCAGGCAGGATGTGGAGAGCTGGATAATGCAGAGGGTTTGGGACATTTCCAAACCACCTTAAGGAGGGACCCATGCTTCATCATCCCAGGACAATGGGGCCATGAGCACAGGGCACCAGGCTCCTCTGGCAGCAGTGGGGCGACCCTCTTTAACTCAGTCATGTTCCCGACGGAGTTGGAGTCCTGTGGCCCAGGGATGCGCCCTAGCCTGAGTTACTTCTCAGTCCTGCATGTATCTTTTCCCTTTGATTTGTTGGGGAAGCAGACTGTTCTGAATGCATGCCCCAGCCCTGAGCAAACAGGCTATAGCGCCGTGGATTGGAGATGCCAGTTGTACTGAATGGCTGATTGAACGTGGACCAGTTCTCAGCTGTGTTTAGTAAGGGGACTCAGCAGCCGGGCTCCATCGGTGTAACCAGCATGGCCTTGCAGGCAGCATGAAAATATTCTAAAGAAAAAAGAGCAATTGCTGGCTAAAAACTTGGAAGCATTATACTGTGAACTTATGATCAGATCCATTCTAGAAAATAGATTTTTTAAAGACCTCTACAGATAGCATTAAAGGACTCTATATTCAGATTACTCTCATCCATTTGAATCCTAAATTGAAAGTGTATTTGCAAATGCCAGCATCTCCCCATTCCACCCACTGTGCCCTTAAACAGGTGCAGAGCTGTCTTCAGGTCAGATGGACCATCGAAATGCCGGCTGACCCAACTTGGCGAGTGTGAGGTGTTTGGAAGGGAGGGTGTCTGAGGCGCCCTGGACTGGGCCAGCGGGTTCCTTCCTGGCCCTCTCCGCCGGTGCTCAGGGCTAGTGCACTGGGGGAGGTCTGGTTTGGAAGGCCAGTGTTGGCAGGTGGAGGAGAAGGTGGGCTGGTCAGTGCCTTGCTGTCTTTGCTCTCCTGGCTGTAGTTTCACTGCATTCAGAGCAGTGAAGGGAAAAGGGAACGCCCCAGTAGCCTGAGCCTCCATGTCCTGTGATAAAACGGGCCATCTGGGTGTGCACAGTGATTGCTTATTGGGATTCTATGGGAGTGTGTCTCCAGGCCATTTTTTCTGTGGAATGAGGGAGCACAGCTGTGACTATTTTCACACAGGCATGCAAGTTATTGTAAAATTCCCAGTACTTCGCTACTTCCATAAACTGCTCCAAATAAATAAGACATTTTCCCACCAGAAAAACTGAGTGATAACCAGATGTTGGCTATGCAGCACTTTGAGAAGTTTTAAGCTTGATCTTTTATTCTGTTTCCAAGTGTTTTGCTTTTCAAGATGAACAGAAAGGTCTGGAATATTTGCATGCTAATAAAGGGGCAATCGCCTCTTGTAAGAAGACCACAGGGAAAGGACACTTGACACATGTGGTTTGTGTGAGATGAGCTTTGGGAAGTGCAGTGGGACCCAGAAGGAAAGAGTGGGCCCCTGGGTGCCAGTGTGTGTCCTGCTGACGGAATGCACGCACTACCACGCTGGCACGCGCATTCCTGAAGGCGGCGAGGGAGAGCTTTCTACCTGGAGTCACGAGCCCAGGATTAGGGTTTGGATTGGCTTCCACCCTGCAGTTCTGTGCCCTGAGTCAGCCTCTCATCTAGCGTTAGCTGGGCTGCTCCCTGGGTGGGGTGGGGGCTGTGCCCTGGGGCCCACTGCTTGGACTCAGAAGGCCCCAAGTTCCCAAAGTCCTTAGCTCAGTTTCCTGTTTTCCAGCTTTGCTGGGTGAGAATAAATTCCTTTGTACTTCCTGCTGGGAAGCACCAAGCTCAGGCTGCGGGGATCCCGGCTTCCCTTTCCTCCACACTGAGCCGGTGTGGGGAAGGCGTTGTGGCTGGCCCAGACGGTGGGGTTGTGTGTGATGGGAGTCTGATTGGCCACCCCGGCCACCCTCCTGCTGTCATCAGGACTCTATTTCATTTGTGTAATTCGTCTACACTGCTTGCCTTTTAGAGACTTAAGACCACGCAGTTCGATGGTTCCGTGCAGTGTTCACTTCATATTGATTATTTTAATTCCTTTCTTCTGTTAATCACTGTAAATCTTACCTCTCTGGGTGGCAGCCCCTTTGAGAGTCTGTGAAGACAACGAGATCTCAGGCAGCATGGTGGGACTTCTTTGCTGCCTTGTTGAGCTCATTCAGGCCCCACGTGAGGGGCTTGGTCGCCTGCCTCTGAGGGTATAGACTGCTTTCTTGACCCTGTTACCTAACAGTTCACAGAGATCATTACACTAATTCCTAGACCATTTCATTCTTTTTGCTGTTATAGAGAGTAACATAAACTCCCTGACAAAGTCTCCCTTCTGATGTTAGAAAGGCCAATTTATCTGTGTGAATCCTCTAATAACTTAAAAACACAATTCATCCTTATCAGAATTGTAAATAATATATCAAGGAAGATAACCACAAAAATATTTTTATCCCAAAATGTTTTCCTAAAGTTGTATGTATTACTCAATTATTTTAAAAGATTTTTTTCAAAGATTTGTTTTGGTTGCCATGGCTAATGATTATAGCCATCAGAATGAGCCCAGGGCTATAACTTCAGTCTGTTCGATGGAAATGACTCTGATGTCATAAACTGACTCAATTTGGCTGACAGGATAATCGTGCAGAAAAAAAGCTGTTGGAACCCATATGTTTGTTGTGCTCAGTGGCAGGAAGGGAGATTGACTGTATGCAAGAACGGGCTGCAATTAAAATGGAAGAAATGGGGAAGTTATCATAAAGGAGCAGGGATGAACTCTGGGCCAGTGCTGTTACATAAAGCAGAGTCTTTGGAGAAGAGACGAGGTGGCTGACGGGGCAGTAGGCAGCAGAGCTGTTTAAGTGGGTACTGGTTGGAGGGCTGTTCACCCCCATGCATTTACACAGCAGGTGGGTGGGCGGGCATGCACACGGGCTGATCTTGCAGACCTGGGGAGTTGGGGTCATTCTCCAGAACATGGGAGAATGCAGGTTCTGACTTTGATCTCAGATAGAATGAGTCTGCACAAGTAGTGATTCTATAGTATCTTACTACACTGATGGGCAGGGACTGTAATGGGGTGTGTGGTGGGGACTTGATAATGGGGGGAGTCTAGTAACCATAATGTTGCTCATGTAATTGTATATTAATGATACCAAAAGAAAAGAATGAGTCTGCAGAGACTGGCTCACAAGAGCCACCATGGGCTCATCAACTATAAATTGGGCAGATTTCACATTGCCTCTTAATGTAATTGCCTCTTTTGGTGGAATTTTCAATTAGTAATTGAGACTGCATTTGACAGAAATTCCTCACATTATCCTTATGGCCAGATTAAAAAAATACAAACATGAAAATAATTCAGAACAGAGCTTTCTGTCTGAAGGAACAGCTGATTCTACTCGGAGAGGGTTGATGGATCATCATTTCCAACCTGGTGAGAAGCTTCCCATCATGGGAGAGGCGCACTCACTGCACGTTCAGGGTTTCCATGAGTCATGTCATGAGGATATTCAGTCACAGTCACAGGTGACCTGCAGTGCAAGGGCAAGACCAAGATTCTAAAAGCTCCCGTGAACTAGAATCGAAGGGTTAAGTGTGCTGGCCAAGGGAAGGGGAGATGGGAAGTGTGGTCTTTAATGACACACCAGCTTAATATTAGCAACAGTTTAGCATATTTTGCAGGTTAGGGGTGTGTAAGGTAAAGATGACCCATTTATTTGCAAAGTAATTTAAATTGGGTGCCTATAAAGAGCCAGGCACTGTTCCAAACTTGGGCATGCAGCAGAGAATAACATAGACAAGACCCTGCCCTCTCATCAGCTTAGTATTCTGGCTGAGAAAGACAGATAATAGACAGTAAACACAGTGCATAAATTACATAGCAGAAGGGGATAATGCTGTGCTGGGAAACTAGATGGAGGTAAGGGGGGGAGGGCTGTGATTTTAAGTGAGGTGGTCAGACATCACTAAGAAGGTGACATTGGAACAAATAGGAGGAGGAGAGTTACCCATGTAGATTTGTAGAGATAGATGGTAGACTTCTTGTACCCACAACATAACCCGATGACACCGTTACTCACGGCAGGGCCTGGGGTAGGAGAGACCGGGCTCAGCCATTTCCCGGTGGCCAGTGATGGGAAGTGGTCTGGTGTGTTTGAGGAAGAGCAGAGGGGCAGTGTGCTTGAGCAGTGATGGAGGAAATCAGTAGGAGCTGAGATAGGCCGCTGAGGATTAATGGAAAAGGCCCTGTTACCCATTGTTTTACCTTGATTACAATGTGGGAAGGACCTATGTCTTCCAAGAGGCCCAGGGGCCGGGTGGGGTAGGTATATAATTAAGTTTTCCAGGCTTTTCACAGAGCCAGCGGGAGTGGATTCCCAGGGAGTGGATTCCCAGCCAGCCGGTAGTATTCCCCTTGGGGCTGGCATTTCTTTGGCTCTGGAATGGTTGGGCCTTTGATGATATCTGATGACCACCCGGAAGGGGCTGGGCCCAGTCTTTCCTACTCCAGGCCCTTTTTTGAGTAATGGTGTCATTTGGTTATGTTGGGGCCTCCCAGTCAAGAAGCAGCTGAGGCTTATGGGTACAAGAAGTCTAATATTTAAATATGCATATAAGACCTTTTTGAGAT